GACTTATCCTTAGCAACTAGTAGCAACAAACCCAAGCTTGTATAACATATCTACCGTATGAACACTGCCTGACCTTCAATAATCATGTGTGACCAAAATGTGACTTTCATGTCTTGGTGTCGTCGACCACCAGCAACTTATGGTGCTCAATGAAAGAGCTACGGCAACTATCCTTACTCATACTCTTTGCTACCCTCTATATTTCTATGGCCCAACGATTCTACTGTCAGCCATCTGGGCCTTGTCAGCGCTTCTACGATAACAGCAAAGCGCGGGATATTCACCAACTCAGCTGTCCGGACTTCAACGAGCCAGACGAAGGACTTGAAGCTGCCTTGGAGCTTCGGCTCAAGCAGAGGAGGGTGGAGGAAGATGCAGTGAGAGCACAAGTGCAGATGCAGGACATGGAGGTAAGTTATCGAATATTTTTCAAACCTTTCTCAATTGTTACTTCCCAGGTTGATGGAACCCCGCAAATATCTCTGGATTCATACACACCAGTGAGAGATGGCTCACCGTCTGGTCAAAACACCCACGAAGAGCACGAAGCCATACCACAATCATCTCCTAATGCCGCAACGACACCAGACACTGGTCGCCCGGTTCGCACCAAACGCCTAACATGGAAACTCCTGCAGCAGCTCCCTGAACCGCCGCCTCCTTTGCCAGACCAGCCACAGGAAGTGTCTGAGGTGCTCGAAACATCGCCTCCCGATATCGAATAGACTGTACGAACCCCAATCAACAACTTTGGGCTGTTCCGTGAATATCCTTGCTTCCCGACTTACAATCCAGACTCCGACATCCTTCTCAATGATCTCTCCGACATTCCTGCCCCACCGCAACCCAATCGACAGTCCCAAGGTGAAACACGGCTTTCGCCTTTGGCGGCACCATCTGAAATCCTCGGAATGGCTGCGAAAAGCGAGAGTTATGGACCGTTTGGAAACTTCACAGTGTGGGGTTTCATGAATTGGATGTGGACGGGCTCAGCGACAAAAAGCTTGGGAGAAGCACTCAAACTCCTCCACTATCTCAAACCCCCGCTATTTAAGCTGGTAGATTTGATGGACTTCGATCTAAAAGCACAAACACAGCGCTTCGACAACCTCCTTCGTGGCCAAGATGGACAAGCCAAAGATGGCTGGCAGATAACGAGCATCAACATTCCAGTCCCGGACCATCGACAACGCAAGAATGACGAGCCGCTGTTGTCTTACACAGTTCCTGGCCTACACTTTCGCAATCTCACGGAAACTATCAAGGCATCATTGGCCGACAAAACCGCCAAAGCCTTCCACTTTACACCCTTCCGACAGTTTTGGCAACCGAACGATGGCTCACCACCTCAACGAATCTATGACGAAATATATTCATCGGAGGCGTATATAAGTGAATATAACAAGCTGCAACTCCAACCTCCAGAACCCAACTGTACTCTTGAGCGCTGCATTGTCGCACTCATGTTCTGGTCCGACTCGACCCATCTCGCAAACTTCGGAACAGCGTCCTTATGGCCGCTCTACTTGTTCTTCGGCAATTACTCCAAATGGCTTCGCGGCAAACCACGAGCACATGCATGTCATCACATTGCGTATATGCCCAAGGTTTGTTTTAGTTTCTTATAACACATCTCACTCACTATTGCTTTTAGCTTCCTGACACGTTCTTCGACTGGTTCAAGGCTGAAACTGGTGATGCACCACGTCCCGAGGTCATCACCCAATGTCGGGCGCGAGCTAATGCACGCAATCTGGTTGTTCCTGTTGGATGCCGAGTTTCTGGAAGCGTGCAAGCATGGAGTCGTCATTCTTTGCCCTGATGGTCTCTTCCGCCGATTCTACTTCCGTATCTTTACCTACTCAGCTGATTACCCAGAGAAGTAAACAAAATCTAGTATTCTGATCGGTGCTTTAATTTCATATCAGGGTTCTTCTTGCCTGCATTCGTGGTCTTGGTCGCTGCCAATGTCCACGATGTACCATACCCACAAAGATGTTCCACGAATTCGGAACTGTCAACGACGCAAACCGGCGCGTCAAAATGGCGCGACAGCCGACAAAGAAATACCAGTCCATGGTCTCACGCGCGCGCTACTTTATATACCGTTGCCAGAAGGTTATCAAAGGCAAACAAGTTGAAGGTTTATTGCAACCTGAGTCATGGGTCCCGACACAGGTCTGTTTGAGGCCTCGGCTTCATGTTTCCGAACTCATGAACCTCCAGAGCGCATTCCTTCAAGTCGAGCCATATATATGGGATATGTACCAGATGCTTGCTCCTGACTTGATGCACGAGTTTGAGCTCGGGGTGTGGAAAGGCGCATTTGTCCATCTCCTACGCATTCTGTATGCTCATGGTGGTGACGCGATCACCAACCTCAATCTCCGGTCAGTCCTTTCTGTCTGTAAACCCCAATACTAATTAGCTTATCTTCTTCTCTTTAGATATCGTCTTGTGCCTACCTTTAGCCGTGACACTATTCGCCGTTTCACGAACAATACCTCGGCAATGAAGAAATTGGCTGCGCGCGACTACGAAGACATGCTTCAGGTAGGTTTTCCTTCAATAGTAGGGTCAATCTAATAGACTGTTCAGTGTTCAATGCCCGTATTTGAGAACCTTCTTGACATCGAACAGTATTCTGAGGACAACGAGATCATCCTTGATCTACTTTTCGCTTTTGCTTTCTGGCACGCACTGGCCAAACTTCGACTTCATACGACCGATACCCTTGAGCACCTGCAGGAGGCAACACGGGACCTGGGCTACCAACTTCGACGTTTTACCCGAACAACATGCAAGACTTTTGTTACCCGGGAATTGCCCCGCGAAGAAGCTGCGCGACGGAGACGATATGTCCGCAAAACAGCTGAGGCTGCTCGGACTGGCACTGCACCCCCACCAGAGACCAATGCGGGAACAAAAATCAAAACGTTCAACGCCAACACTGTCAAGACACACTTTCTTGGTGACTACGTGCCTACCATCCCATTTATTGGCACTACAGATTCGTACTCGACGGCTACGGTAAGTTTATCGTAATCCTCTTATTCTGGCCTGGGCTCATACTCAGACAAAATAGGGTGAACTCGAGCACAAACGTGGCAAGGCATTCTATGACCACACAAGCAAGAACAACGCAACGACCCAGATCAGCAACCTTGAGCGCCGCGAGGCAGCTCTCACTAAGATTGCTGATGAATTCCGTACGATGCCGCAGCCAGAACCGAATGGCGCAAAACGTAAACGGACAGCAAAAAATGTGTCGAAGCTGCAGGACCCGACACTCAGTTTTGCGCAGGCAGAAGCTCTCCCGTATACCCCTCCGGAGGAACACGTACATATCTCGCTTAGCCGTAACGTCCACATCAACCTCGATTTCTGGATCGACCAACATCTTGGTGACCCTGCTTTCAAGGTAAACTTTTATTTCTTGTGACTCACCTGACTCACTTGCTGGACTGACTAGAACTTCCGGCTCAAGCTGCAGACCCACCTACTGGGACGTCTTCTCCATCCTGACTACTCAAGCAATGGGTCAGAGTACACGGCTGATGACCGAAACCGACTCCATATTCCGAACGAGCGTATCTATATCCACAAGGTCCTACGTGTCAATTACACAAGCTATGACGTTCGCCGAGGGCAAGACTCGATGAACCCTCGCACACACGCCAATGTCATGACGCTCTCTCCAGAGGACACTGTTGACGACCACCCCTTTTCCTATTCACAAGTCATTGGCGTCTGGCACTGTGAAGTACAGTACCGTGAGTTTGGGCGTCTTACACCTGCAAAAACTGTCTGCTTGCTCTTTGCTCGGCATTTTCGCCTCGACAAGACTTGGAAAGGTGGCTTCAAGCGTCGACGCCTGCATCGAATCGAGTTCCTTCCAGAGAACGATGACAACGCATATGGCTTTGTCAACCCTGATGAGGTCATCCGCGAAGCACATCTCGTTCCCGCATATGCACATGGGGTAACTGAGTGAGTCTACTACCAATCAATTGGGCGGCGCGAGGGTGATTTCAATGACTGGAAGTACCACTATGTGAATTTGTGAGTTGATTTCATACATAATTTGAGCAAAAACTGACATATATCAGTTTTGTCGACCGCGATATGCTTATGCGATATCTGGGAGGTGGTGTCGGCCATTCATACCGAGTCCTTGTTCCCGATCCGCCACATGAACCCGAGGAGGAGCTTGAACTTGAAGAGGAGGACTGGGAAGACGAGCCGGAGCAGCCCAACCCAGCTGCTGCGCACGCGGTGCCTGATCCAGAGGACGAGTTGGATAGTGGGTTTTTGGAGATGGCTGGGGATGGGGATGATGAATTAGATGCAGAGGGAGAGGATTATGACTCTGCAGCAGAAGAGCTGTCAGATGGCCGCAATTCAGATTATGACACAGAGGATGATGAGGAAAGAGATGATGATCTGGGCCCTGAGGATGGGGCAGATGGGTTAGATACTGATTACCAGCACCTAGCCTCAGGCTCTATTGAGTAGCAGTCATGGTCACAAATTATGGTACTCTCACAGTCATCTCCACTAGTTCATAAATTGTCTTAAAAAGTTTTTTATATAACTGTAATAACAAAACAAGGATTGTCTTGTGTTTCTCAAGCTCTGGCTATGCTGGTAATCTTATTGCAAGGTCTCAACAGGGTTTTATTGAATATATAAAACTGACAAAGGCCTGGCCCAAAATAACCAACCTCCCAGGTTAATTGCAAGGCCTGTTGAGACATTGCTCAGGCCCTGCAAACGGCGCAATTGTTGTGGCTGTCACCAGCTGTCAAAAGGTTTCCCACTTTTTGCTGATGTACTAGCCAAAATACTTACAGCACCCTATCCAACGCAGCGGCTGGCATCCTTAGGTTTACTTGTGCCAAACGGTCTGTTATGTAGTATTTCGGATACATAAATAAGTAATTGATCACAGTCCGAGACAGAGAGCAGCTTCGTTGCGCGTCTACGATCTACGGTCTACATCACAGCACCATCGCCGCGCCCGCCATCGCGCCGACCACGACCGTAAGGAGCAGCGCCGGATCGAAGCCGAGGCGCCCGGCGCTGCTCGGCGGCGGCGCCCCGGACCCGCTTGGTGCGGCGCCGGTCCCTGCCCCGGCCGCGGAGCCCCCGGCGGCGGTCTGCGGGCCGGCGGTCGCGCTGTCGGTCATGAAAAGCGTCGCGCCGCCGTCGATGGCGGGCAGCGCGGAGGCTGAGGCGCCGAGGCCGACGAGCCCGCCCTCGTGCATCTGTCGACTGCGTCAGCAAATGAATACAAGAGGGAGCGATGGAGGACACACGTCGAGCGGGGCCTTCTGCGCGGCGGCGACGAACGCGGCGAGGCTGTTCGGGCCGGGCTTGATGTTGATCCCGCCGACCATGCCCGCGTTGCAGTGCGGCGCGGGGATCTTTTGCTTGCAGTAGAACCAGATAGCTTTGTCAATAAAGTATTAAAAGGCGGGTAGGAACGCTGAAGAGGGGAGGGACGCACGGATCTGGTCGCTGGTGATCGTGAGCTGCCACGTGGGAAGCGTGCTCGTGTTCGCGAGGATCTCGACCCAGCCCGAGTCGAAGCCGCCCTTGAACGGCGTGCACGGCGCCGCGAACGTCGACTGCGTCACGCTGTGATTGCCGGGGCTGGGGCTGGTCAGCGGGGGGGACTCGACAAGAGCTAAAGGAAAGAAAGAGACGCACATGCCGCTGAAGGTGAACGTGATGACCGACCCGTTGCTAGCGGTGAGGTTGTTCGGCATGAACTGGAAGATCCCGCCGGGGGTGCTCGTCTCCGCGCCGACCTGCACCTGGACCATCTGCCAGGGTAACTCCTCAGATTGGATTGAGAGCGAGGCGGGCGGGGACAGACCTGGTTTTGGGCGCCGACAAGGGCGGCGCTAAGAAGAGCTGTGGCAGTCGCGAGACGCATCGTGGATGCCTTTTCGTGAGGTGGGTGAGAGGGTTCGTGAGATGGGGGCAAAAGGCCAGAACAAAACGCACAAATGCCGCATGCATCCAGGGCTTTATATACCCCGCGCGAGACCCTGAGCTGTTACCCGAGCAACAGGCCACGGCGTTGACGTAGACTTCGAGCCACTAAGCCGCCACTTTCCCTGAGCGTGTACGTTGTGGTCCCCCATTTGTAAGGAGGACCGTTCGTGATCTTGGGAAACGGCGTCTGCAGAAGCCGGTGGCTTTACCCCCATGCGAAAGTCTGCAATAGCATGCCGCCTGCACCCTCAGGACGGAGTACGAGGTCAAGCCCATAGACGGGCCATCTGCGGGCATCCAGATTGAAGTACCCGTGTGGAGAGGCAGCCAGCTCGTGTTCAAAGTTCAGTGCGCGGTTGGTGCGCGGGGCCTGCAACACGTAGTTATAAATAATCAGTCATCGCTAATTTTATTTTGGCACACACATCTTCCTCGACGCTTCCTCCTTCCCACACCACGACCCTCGATCGAGCACGGGTGGGAAAAGGAAGGGCCCCAAACGCCTCGACAACACAGACGATCGCACGCTGCGCAGTAGACCGTGACATCGTCGTCAGCGGTGGGCCATCGATGCAGACCGACAATTGAGTCCAAGAGTTCGGACTCGCTCCACGAGGGGACGACTGAGGCGAGCAGCCGGACTGTGATTTGGACTCAGACGCTGGGAGCGCTGGGCCGCTGGACACGGGGGAAACGGAGTTCCGCAAATTAAACGATCGCAATGTGCACCATGTCGATACTGGCAGACAGTCAGCGCACTGGACAAGTGTGTCAGTAGGTTTTGAGCAAGGGGGTGTCACGTGTCAAAAAGTGACAACCGGGATGGTCGGTCGGTCCCCCCTCCGGACCCTTAAAAATTTTTTTGAAAGAAACTTTTTGGCTGAAATGGTAAGTCAAAATTGTCTTAGGATGGGTTACAAGTACTGTTTGGTGCACTATACATCCATAATTAAGTATCAACAATCTCACAAGTGGTTATTTTTCAGTATCTCATCATCAGATGGAACATTGTGACAAATCAGACCATATGGGGATGGATATCTGTACTCTGGAGTGAGATTTGTAAGACAATGACTATATCAGGACTTTGTCTACAAGATATATATATAGCTAGAAGTCTATGTTTCTATTAATGTTCTTGGAAATTCAGAGGACTGACTGACTCGGAGTTTGATGCTATGAGATCACATGACTGTGTGAATTACCTTCCTAATATGGTAATGTCACGTCACAGTCACGGTCGGTGGGTCCCCTGGAAGGGCTTAAACAAAAAGTCCAACATATGTTCCGTTATTTTTTTTCTGATACCCCCTTGGTTTTGAGTACCGATGTGATAACAGATGACTTACCGCTCTGCCTACACCTCGGTGGCGCATCCACGCACAAAAAGCTACGGTCATGGCCAACGGGAGGGAGCAGAGGGAGCTGCAGCGGTCGCCAGAAACGTCGCATGAAGGGCGAAGGAAGCTTCAGTGATGTGTCATACCAGCTGACTGCGCGATCAATTCGTCAACAAAATCCGTCCGAAGAGTCGCGACATCAAGGTAGGCAGTAGTATTGAAACAGTGCAGATGAGTGAGGAATACAAGGGTACAGTACAGCGTATTAGCAAACGAGACAGGTTGGTAGGTGTATAGGGCTACAAGAGTCGTGGATGGAGAATGTCGTTTAATTTTGAAAAGATTCGCGTGGTAGTCGTGGATTTGAGTGATTCGGCGTCGCGCAACTTTGAAAGTGTTGCGCCCGGAAGAAGAGTGGGTTTGAGGGTTTCCCGGTCAAGTATCGGTGCTCATGCGCGAATACGAGTGGCCCTGGGCTTGGCCGGCGCGCGGGGGCCCAGCATCACCCCTCCGGTCATAACGCGGGTGACGCCACCCTTGTAGAGGTACGCGGTCGTCGTGTTCCCTGCCGACTTGGTTGCGGGCTTAAGCGCGGGCTCCGGAGTGAAAACAGGGAGTGCGCGGGCGACAGGGACAGTTTTGGGGACAGCGGGCAAAGGGCGGACGCCAGCGACAGCAGGCAACGCAAAGGGCTTGCCCTTGGGCGAATCGGGGGAGAGGGAGTAGACCGTCGGCGACGACGATGCGTCTGACGCGGCGTCGGAGTCGTCATCATCCGAGCTCGAGTCGTTGTCGTCGTATGGGGTAGCGAACAGCGTGGGAAGGACGATGGGGCGGCGGCGGAAGGCCAGCGACAGTGCGGGCGCCTGGGGCTGGCGCGAGATGCGCACAACACTCCCTTGGGTCTCCTCGCTCCAGACATCGAAGAGTGGGCCAGCACCAATGCGGGCCTTGACGAAGCCAGGGCCGTACACGACGGTCAGCTCCTCAGCATCACCGGCGAGCGCATGGTACCACACGGGCCACTGGATGGCCGCGCCGATAGCGGCGGCAAGGAGCGGGGTGGGTGGTGCAGCGAGGGGTGCAAGGGTAAGGATTCCCGACGCGGAGGGCTGCGCCGAGAGTGTGGCGTGGAGGATGGCCTGGGCAGTCGCCACTGACGTGGCAGGAACACCAGCAGCAGAAAGGGGGCGGGTGAGATAGATGACGACATGGGAGATGGCAGACATGGCTAGAGACTATCGCACGGCGATTCTGGAAGAACACAGTCAGCGAAAACGCAGAGCGCAAGCGGGGAGAGCGCACCAAAAAACGAGAGCGGGTTCGTGAAGAAAAAAGAGTCGGTCGTCAAAGGGCAGGCAATACTGTCCTTGTCCGTCCCCTTCCCTCTTATATCCACCCTCGAAACAATGGACCCGTCTCCTCGTCAATAGCCATTGAGACGACAATGGCTGCGCTGTCATGACAGTCCCCGCGAAGAATGATTGTGCTTATGTCATCACCCGATTTATCGTCCTCGCCCTTGTTTTCGCGGCGCCCCGTCTTTGTCTCTCGGACGCGCTCTTTGTTTTCTGGGCCCTTCCCGTCGGGCATGCGTGGGGACTGGCGCCGTTGCCAGGCGACAAGCACATGCGGCCTGGGCGTGCTTATCTTTCGAGCGCACTTGGCGGTAGCAACCGCAGCCCTGCAGCGTCTCTAACACAAGAGTGCGAGTTCCACCATCGAGAACAAGATGGAAAGCACGGCCGGCTCGCTGCTTTGCCCTGTCATGAGGCTTCCTCTTTGGAATCATGAAACCTTCGGATCTTTCCAATTAGTGCTTCCAGTGGTTATATAACCCATCTGAACCTCATAGGTCATAAATTGACCTCTAATAGGGTGCAGTTTTTAAAGATTTGAGTATTAAAAAACGGTTTATAATTTTTGGTGTCCCAAACTGGTGTTTGTAAACTGGTTTGTAAACCAGGCAACCAAGCATGTGACATTTTAATGTCACAATATCAAAAAATTTAGTCCTAAATTCTAGCTGAAAGGGTTACCTTCATATCTCTTTTCTCTCAGTCACCTATGGTACAGGTCATAATTTGCTATATATTATGTACAGGACCTGTAATTCATAATGTTGATCAGCTGGCAGTAGTCAGATCACTTAAGTCACGTGACTAGCCTGGTTTATAAACCAGGAGGCCTGTGAAATCTTTCCAAACCAGGTTTAGCAACCCTGGTTTATAAACCAGTTTGTAAACTGGATCAAAAAACTGCACCCTAGACCTCTAAAATGCTATAAATATACTGTCTGATCACTCAGCCCCAACTGTCACTGTCTTGGCATATTTTCTGGGCTAAAATATATCATGATATGGACTATAGCAAGTAAAATGTTCATGTATATATATATATATATATATATATATATTGGAGCGTTGGAAATAATGAACTTCAGTCTGCAGAAGCATTCCAAAGAACAACCACTGGGTGCACTGGAACTACCAGTAAAATGCCGGGAAGTAAAGCTCAGGGGAAATGCCTTTATGCATGTTTTCAAGCCAGTGAGGGACTCCTACCATGGTGCGGCTTATCCAACACCCTTCTTTAAGGGTAGAATACCCACTAAAACCCCCCTTTTCATATATCCAGTTATCCGCAAGGAGTCTTCATCCAGCAAAAGCCCACTCCAAGTGTTAAGTACTACTTGGTGGTCAATAGCTAATTTATCAAATTTGTTCTTATTTGTCAAAATTCTATCACATTGAAGTATTGAATTTATTGAATTTATCATTGTTAGCTATCGGTCATGTATTTCATTAAGTTGGAAAGTTTTATTAGGATTTTTAAGACGTCTTTCATTTCGCATGTTCCAAATCATATACCATGCAGCTAACACTAAAATGCTAAACAGTCGATCTTTGTGAGGCTGGGGAGTTCCTTTATTATTGCCGAACCGAAGTTTCGGCTCTCTATATGAAGATGAAAACCAGCAACCCCATATTGGGAGTGGCAGTGTTTTTGATTGTCCTTTTTGGGACGTAGTCACATGATGTTGTCTTTCCCCGCTTGTGTTCCTACTGGCTGTAAGGGCAACCCCGGAGGCCTGAGATCAAGGTCCTAGCAGGGGAGGATCCAAAGCGTGAACATTGGTAAGCAAATACAAATGAAGCTGACCTAGCAGGGGAGGATCCAAAGAGAAGAAACTCTGAGGGTACGCCTGCTAGGTAGCTGACTATATACTGCTTGTCCGTAGCTGCCGCTGTCGGGCACAGAAGGCTTGGGCGGCGTCGCAGGCGAGGTCCCAGGGCGACCGTCGGGAGGGCGTTGACGGATTGGTGATTGTGCGGGCGAGATGGAGGGCCGGACCGGAGTCGGAACCGGAGTCGGACCGGAATCGGGCGCGTCTCCGGGCCGAAAGGGAGGTTCCCCTGACACTGGCATTGCCTCCCCCCCCAGTTTACCTTACACATTTCTCTCAGTAAATACCAAACTGCCTTTGATTATGTCTCACCCAGCTCGACGTTCAGCCCCTGTTGTATTCGATCCTTCACCTCCCTGATCACTAACCCTTCCCCTCAGTTGCCGATCCTGGGGTCGCACATGTTCCGCCTACCTTGTGCTAAGCCTCCTCCCATGAATACACCCTCCATGTCTTCTGCACCCTCATCGGTGTGTGTTAATAAAACCTTACCTTTTTCCTCCTGCTCATATTTATACAGGCTGTTGCTTTGGCATCTCCCTCGTCCTTCCAATCCCCCTCTGTATTCGTAACTAAACATGAATCTTGTAAGCTGATGCTCAGCTTACTTATGGGGAGCTTGCGGAGATCACTCGGCTTTCGGGTTTTCTCGGCGATGCCTCGAAAATCTCCCACACTCGACGTCGTGTGGGAGATTTTTCTTAGGTTTTTTGTTAGCTGCTGAATTGGGGAGCAAGCTCCCCAATGAACTTTATATTGCCAATGAATCTGTCCCTTCTAATCCTGTGCCTGCACTGCCCTTTGTCATTCAGTTTTTGGATGTGTTGCCCTCCGACAAGACCACAATACTCCGAATTTTGTTGATCCAATTTACATCAGTTAAGCAACTATACGCCATATCCTCATTCCATTTTGGTGTCTCTATCTATACTACTTCTTCCAACTGTCGCGTCAAGAAAAAGGTGGAACCAGTATTGTCTCATCGAACTTATCCATGCTCGCCTCGTTGGCTGCGATGGTTTCCCTGTCAGTGAATTCTCTTTTCAGGAGGCCGCACGAATGCTCAAGCTTCGCGTTGCCTCAACGCCACTCAAACGACCCATTGTTGGTATCGATTTACCAGCAAAATGTCGCCATTTGGCCAGGCCTCCCCTCAACCAGCAACCAGTCCCAAGCGGCGGCACGGTGTCTGAAGGACGTCCACATCCTTTTAAAGTTCTTCCCTGGTCTGAGAAATCCTCAATTATCAAGGAGTATATCGATGCAACTTCTAACAATAGCTTATCAAGCACTGAATGCTCATTCTGCCGGGCTCTTGAATCTTCTCGCTTGGTTACCGCATTCTATCGCAAACCGCTCAATATCGACCTTCTTCAAGAGGCAGTCGTCTGTGCAAAATCTGTAATCAGCCCGAGATTTTTGCCTATAATCCCTCGTCGATTGTCAATGACTGTTATCATGTTTGCTCCATTTATTGCAAAGAAATATCTCATTCTGTTTTCAAAAATATTCCTCTGCATAGTTATGCAAATGGTACCTGGACCGGCTGCGTCCCAGATGAGCTCAAGGGCCTAACCTTTTTGGAAGAACAGTGTATTGCTCGTGCTCGTACGACTCGTTGCATGTTCAAGCTCCAACTCGGATCTTCTGGACAGTATGCTTCATGTGGTAATGTTTGTATCTTGCCCCAAGATCCCGGACCCATAATATCTGCTCTCCCTCCACCAATTCATGTTCTCCATGATAAAATATGTGTCATTCTTGTTGTGACTGAAAGCATGCTTACCAATTCTCCTGGTCTGGCGCCAGCGTATAGTTAGTGAGTTAAAGTGGTTGAAGGAACATAATCTGTTGTATTCTGACCTCAACCTCAAGACCATGCATCACAATGCCGAGGAATATCCCAAGCACGGGATTCCCTTCCCTGTACAGGAATTCTTTTTTCAGGACCAATCCGAATTCGGAAGGTTCTTCCTATGTCCAGCAGGCCAATGAAGTACAGTTTACCACTGTAACTACTTGGGGAATGCCGTCCTCAACTGTTGTTGATGTAGACTCAGTTGATTCTATATTTGATGAGCATCATATTGCAGCCTTGGAGAAACTTCGAACAACAAACTCATTCTTACACCAAGTATCCTTCAGGTTCTACTGCTCAGCCTACAAAACATAATCCTAAAATATATAGGCATTTGTGGCCTACTCTTTTCCATGGTAATTTTGGTAGCAGTTAAGTCTGAGTAGAGCATTATGATGACCAAAATATGTCATCACTGCTGACAGCCTATGAGGCAGTGTCTATGATGTAGACTGATATTAAGCAACTTCGCAACTTTGTTCAGCCACAGTCTACGTCATTAATTGGACCTCTTCTCACAGACTCGGAAATTGTATTCCTGGTGCTCCAAAACATTGTTTTTACAACACCACCACCCAGACGATAAAAATTAGCTCATGCAATTTGCAGTTGTTATACCAGGGTTAAGCTAAATCTTCTGGTGGGAACTGCAGTCTCTTGCCATATTAACCTGCCATCTTGATACTCACTAATCCTGGTGCAGCCAAGCTGTTGGTATTACATAACAATAAAATATCTATATGTACTTGTAGTCTTCAAGTAAATTTCAAGTCTGAAAGTATGACATATGTCCAGCAAGGTGATGGTTCAGCTCTCTGCCGCTTGCGGCCTTATCCCTTCTCATTTTTGAATTTGGTTAAGTTACATCCTAATACTAGTCCCCATTCCATTTTTGGCCATTCATTAAATTTCATACTCCAAAGCAGTTCAGTCAGTTTCCAAATATATATTCTTTCTAAAGCTATACAATCTAGCATAATATGTTCCAGAGTTTCTGGAACCTTACACAAAGGGCATTCACCAAATGTTTGTAGTTGCGGAATATTATCCCAAAAGCAATCCTACTTTCAATGTATTATGCATTGTTTTCTGTAAAAGATCCCTGATTTTATTGCTAAAATGCAATGATCTGATTGATCTCCATATAGTTGCATCTGTAGGTTCATAATGAGCCAATTCTTTTA